TGGAAGACTGGATTTGGTAAATATTGCTTAAATAATTTTTATTTCAAAAATATTCATTTGATCCCTAGACACTTTTGATGTGTGTAGATGAGTGTGTGGTAATAGCATGTGCTCTTATCAACTTACAGGATAGAATTGTCCAATGAAACAGTTTCGCTTAACAGTTATTTATTTAGGTTGCATGTTCCTTGTAGAAATTTTATTAAATAAAACAACTTAATATCAAAACTAATTTTATTTTGTGCTCTCATACAGAATGGGGTAGACATTTTTCTGCCAAAATTCAGATAAACTTGAAATATACTGATTTACTAAATTCTCATTATAGCTAATCAATAACATTTCAACATGGTTGGTGTTTTCAAAGTCACAATCGGCAACACAAAAATAACAATGTTTCAAATTTGTCACAAACATTTGGATTTGCATTTGAACCATATATTTTTCTGTCACTTGATTATTTTTCAAATAATTTTTATATGTATTTTCACTGGTTGGGCATTTTATTTCAATGGAAATTTTATTGTCATAAATACCATCTGGTGAACCAGCTATGAATGGGTATTGTGAGGATATAAATAAGCCACACTCCTTCACTTTCTTACCTAGTGTCTTTTCCACTGATGTTTTGACTTTGCTTTCTAGTTCCCGACCTCTCTTCATGGCTTTTGTGTCTGGGGTTTTGGCTCCCATAATCATAGCAACCAAAGATCCATCCATAGTACGACATTTGCTTACTTCATAAGCTCTGGATACTGTAATACTCCCATACCGCAACTCATGCCACAACCTGTTTTTATGTTGAGCCCGAGTCTTCTCTTCGATCAATTTTATGTTTTTGTCAGTGATTGTTTTATAATGTGTAAAAGTGAGTCACAGTCACCATCACCAGAATGTTCTACAATCAAATAATGGAGTGACAATTTTTCATATTCATTCAAGCTGCAGTTATTATATTTCAAAAGCTCACAATTTGTAATACCTCGATTTACAGCTGTTTGGAGAAATTTGGAGAGTATGTTATTTTGTGGAGCAGTCTGTGCGATACATATTCTTTTTCCAGTTGACAGATCCTTTGCAGTAACATACCTAAGATTAGTACCTACTTGAGCCAGTGAAGATTTTCTCCAGTAAGATTGTACCTCAGTACTGGATGGCTCCTCACTTCGTCTGTGGACCCACATCAGAAAAGCCACAGCATGTTTGCAACCTCCCGTTGATGCAGCACAGTCATGGCATTTAACACTAATGACTTTTCCTTCTTTTTCATCGACTAACATAGTCGCTGCATACGATTTCGAACGAACTCTATGTTCTGGGCACACCTTACACTTGATGATACACATATTCGAGTCACGTCGAAGTTGTCCATATCCTATGGCATCATCACCGTAGGATTGTCTCGCCGATCTGAAAAGACGTGACAGGAAAACGTATTAGTCATAATATGTAAAAATTACATTAAACTACACTTGTTAGGTTATATTTTATTGTCTGTACTAGTCGAAATACTTATACGGATGTTTTTACATTTCGAAATTCAGCAGCACAAAAGTCCGAATTGGTGGCAAAGAAATTCCCAACCATTAACATATCCACTCTTGGGAGATTTCGATTGTCGGCTTTCACATAACCAGGTTCCATGTTTAACAAGAAAGAATGAACACTTGTCACTTTCGAGAAGTTTTTATATTGATTAACTAACAAATGGTTGCTTGCTATTTAACTAGACACTTAAAAAACTTTGGATTTTTGGAAATGAAAAAGAAATTAACGCGCGAACAAAGAGTACAGTGACATTTTTTGTTTGTTTACCTACATATGACGTCACGAGTTGTGATTGGTGTTTGCACAACAGATTATAAATGTTAGAATTTTCAGATTTTATTTATTGGTTTAAAAATACAAATAATTATTATTTCCATTGACTTACAAATGGACGACGGGTCTAATACAAAAACCACGAAAAAAATGTCCCAAGTCAACCTATTCGAAATTTAAATTGTTATGTCATCGCAGTATCGCGCTGTCCGTAGAACAAATGAAGACTAAAGCGGAGTGTCGCGCTCTGTATACGATTTTAGCGCCTTACAAGTGCGGACACTTTTTAGCGCGGACCCGACGTCCATATAATTGTAAGTCAATGATTATTTCACAAAAATGTTGATTGAATGATCATTTTTATTATAAAAACATTCTTTGTGACTACATTTTCGATTTTTTCCTGATTATTGTCCGATTGCCTATTGCCTCTTGATAGCCAACGAACTTCAGTATGAAACAACAAACGGTTGAAATCTTCGTCATTAGTAATACAAAGCTGATGAAATAATTTATCATTCAAAGAGGTTGTTACGGAATTTATTGACTGCTTTGATGACATATGGCAGTGATAGAAATAGTCGTTCACTTAAATTTCTAGCAACCAAATGTTGTCTATGAATAACGCAATGTACAGCAAGGACATCTGGAATTTTATTTTATAAGGACGCTATGAAGCCTTTATGGCACCCTGTCATAGCCGGAGCGCCATCCGTAGCAACTGATATAATATTTTTCTAGGGAATCTCTTTCTCATCACAAAACTTTTCCAATGTATTGAATATGGTTTCGCCTTTTGTGTCGGTCTCTAAATTTCTAGCAAACTATAGTTCTTCACATATTTTCTCATCTTTAATAAACCTCACATAAGACAGCAACAATGCTTCATTAGTTGGTAAAGTGGACTCATCGAGCTGAATTGAGAATTGACTAGTCCTCAGATAATTAATTGCACAATGATTCTTCAATGTTTTCAGCCATTTCATCAATTCGTCTTTGCACAGAATTAGTACTCAAAGGAATTTTTCGGATAATATCTGCGGCCGGTTTATGAAGCACCGTAGTTATTACTTCCTTTATTGCTGGATAAATTAACTCTTCTCCGATGTTGTGTGGTTTCCCTTTTTGAGCAATTAACAAAGTGATATTGTACGAAACTCGAAGTCCGTCGTGATTTTGCTTAGCAGTCGCCGATAAGAGTTTTGCTACACTCGGCTGAGTATTATGCTTCTTCTCTAGGTCTTGAAAATATGCTGCATTTTTGTCTTTCTTATCTGGATGCATTTTATTCAAATGATCTTGCAGTCTTGAAGGCTTCATTGCTTCATTCGAAAATGTTTTAGATATAGAAGGCACAAAGGCGACGATGGGTTTGTGGGATTTTCAATGAATCCGAATTTAATATATTCCGCACAGTATTGTCGTCTCTTTTTTACTTCCGACATTGTTTTGTTTTGAGAAGTACGTAAGTAAGTGTGAACTTAAGTACTGCTTATCTATTACGCGCGAAACTTCAAATGAAAATAAAATAAATATTAGGTTGTTTATATAGGATTGCATAAGCAGCACGCACCGACAGGAATAAGACAAACATGCGTATCCTCGTTTATCTCATTCGACGCTCAATCGTAGTCAACAAGTAAGAACAAGTATTCTATGAAACTGCCGATTGATACAGGAATGCACAAATCGGGTTATTTAACAAAAACTTGTTAAAACATGATTGCCCGCGGTCTATTATCTACGTAAATTACCTATCTAGGAATAATAATAACTTTTAAAATGCGAAACTGTGTCTGTTGCCTTTTTATTTGTTTGTTTGTGTCCACTTTCATTTCGAAACGGAGCGACCGATTGACATGATATTTATTTTATTTATCCAATAAAACAGGACAGACATATGAACTACACGGAGAGAAATATCGAACCGAGTTAGTTTGAGCAATCTCTTAATTAATATTAGTTGATGTTCACAAGTTGTAGTCGAGAGTCGAGAGCTCAGTCGGTATCTAAGAGTCTTCCTAGATGAAATTACAAGTCTCTCCCTAAGCCTCACAACGCCCCCATTTTTTTCCCATTAGGCCTGCAGCACCGACAAGGGGGCGTTATCGCCCACTTTGAGAAAGACTGGTTTAGACGATTTGGTTTAAATGATCAAACATTGAAATATAAATACAAGGAATAGTTTTATTAGTTGATCCCTTTATGTGAAAAATTTGCAAATGAAATAAAAAAAACAAAGAAACCCTATTTTATATTTAAAGATAATAGTAGTAGAGTGGTATTAGAAAGAATCTATTTTTATACTACCTACATAATTTCATATAAGCAAACATACGAATGCACCCCTACACGGCGCGTGACGTGCGTGCACACATACAAGCGGCACTGCTACATTTTCTTGGAGTTATAGGTTTGAAATATTATTTGCACCGATTCGTTCTACAGCTTCATATTTAGAATGCAATAAGACCAAAGAGTGAGCCGTCTCGGTAACGTACGTGGCATTTGTATAGTACAAACAACTAGTTTAAACACTCTTTATCTTTATTCGGAAAGCGTTTAGCGCACCCATGATTCGTACGATGGATCAAGATCATTAAGAAAAAAAAAAAATCCATTTCGTTATTCTTCTGCTTATGGTATTTTTTTTAATTTATTTATTAATTTATCAGATTACAAAGACCCATAAATACATACCTTATGGACTAACATTCGTAATAATACAATAAAACACTCGTATAATATATACCTTAAGGAAAAACATACATACAATATAATAAAACACTATTTCTAACTAATCTACACGAATTGCACTTGTCGGCGATGTGTGGCGCAATCTGGTGTCAGGTAACCGGCCGCGGAATCGCCGATACATGACACCCTTCGCCCAAAACTCTTTCTTCATGAAGGCCGACAGATGTTCGGTCGGTACTCTCACTACAAACGAATTAAAATTTACGTTGTGGCGCGACTCCAACCGCTCGACCCTCAGGGTGTATTTGGCTTTATGTCTGATGTACTCCACTATCTCCTCAGACTTAGTGGAGTAATGCAGTCGTGACAGGTACAGCAGCTTCGTCTGCATGGCCGCGATTTAAGATAAGAAAGATCTGAATGGTAGAGCTGATCACTTATGACTGTTGAATTGTTTTTTATTTGTGTATTTTCTCTTGCAGGTGCGGAACTTGGAAGTGGAGGATGCATTTGCAAATTTTGCCAAAGAGAAATTATTGGGCAAGTACATTACACAAATTCTGTACGTTATAAACAATGTACCTACCTATATCCTATATAAATATTGTTTTTTTTTACGACAGTGGCACAGGTGCCTTTTTTTCGTTAGATGACGCGGTCTTGAGCTTATTTTCCGTGGGGCCAATTTAGGAAAAGAAAGTGCCTTAATTGCTTTTGATCTGGTGGTTCTAGTTAGTCCACCTGGCGTTAATTTCTTCCTGGTGCTAAATACAGGAAATTTCCTAGTTTAAAACCAGTTTCTCAGGCTTACTTATATAGGTGTCAACAATCAATTATGTTAAACGTTTTAATTGAAAGGGATGTTGTATGACACTAATAACGCGGACAATTAATTTTTTTTAATTGTATTCTTTTCATGAGCAGATAATTAAAGCCTTAACAAGTGCCTGGCACATGACCCCGTCTTTTTAAAACTGATACTGATGTGCTTGTTACAGGTTCCGCTACACTTGCGTGCAATGCGAAGACGTGGAATTGTGCAGTGCCTGCGAGGCGAAAGACAGACATTGCCTGCACTACGTGTTGAGGATACCTGAGTCCCGGCCTCAGGTCTGTGTAACTCCATTTATTTTCACCAGCTATCACTTTATTTTGGACATCTCCACACGGCAATCAAAATATGTAAGTCCTATAGGTAACTGAGACCGCTCTGCCTGCATCGCTTCGATGGATTAGATTATATTATAGTAGTCACAACTTCAAAATATAGCATAAAGACCACAACTGACAATTGTGGTGCAGCTCGTGCGACTACACACTTTGTGACTGTGTCTACTAGTGCCTACTGGAACAAGTCAAGAAGTAGGTATGTCCATATGCTCAATGTTTCGACCTGAATAACCGATAGGTGATTCCTATTCAGTGGTTCAACGAGAATATATCAGGATAGTTTCAGGAATACTTTTTATTATTGTTGACTCATAAGACGTCCGATCATCACTTGAACAACTGACCTATAAACGACATCACTTAGGGTCGTATTCCAGAACTCTACTCAATACTCAAGTCAGGACTTGAGTATTGCAGTGAGCACTGAAAATCATACTCAAGTCCTTGCCATTAGGGTCGTATTTCCAGTGCTTGTGTTTCCATTGCAATCCTGACTTGAGCATTTAGTAGAGTTCTAGAATACGAGCCTAGGAGCCTAGCCATCAATATTGAGATCTACGAGCCTAGGAGTCGTATTCTAGAACTCTACTCAATGCTCAAGTCAGGATTGCACTGGAAACACAAGCACTGGAAATACGACCCTAATGGCAGGGACTTGAGTATGATTTCTAGTGCTTTGAATCATACTCAAGTCCTGACTTAGGCATTGAGTAGAGTTCTAGAATACGACCCTTAGAGTCGTATTCCAGACCTCTACTTCATGCTCAAGTCAAGATCTGAGTATGATTTCAAGCACTGGAAATACGACCCTAATGGCAGGGACTTTAGTATGATTTCGAGTGCTTTAAACCATACTCAAATCCTGACTTGAACATTGAGTAGAGTTCTAGAATACGACCCTTAAAGTCTGTCTTTTTGAAAACAGAGTAAAATGACAGTTCATTGCGCAAAAGTGTTGCCCACTTGCGAGCAGCTAGTGATTGCAGTCGATAAATATTCTATCGACTATCTACTGAATATTGGTCACGCTTATGGAATAAATAGCTGAATTTATTGCATTTGAAACATCCTCGATCCATTATTCAATCAATTACTGAGCACAAGTTCATTTGGTTTATCAATTTTTGTAAGTTCGTACATACATACACTGAGATACATTTAGAACTATGTTTATGAAAAATATAATATGGAGACATATTTTAAAGTATTTATTTTCATTGAATATAAATAAATAATCATATACAGCTATTCTTGTTAAAACGCATATAAATAAACATTGATTTCGACACTACTAGGCCAACTTTCAAAATAAGAATAAAGAAGACAATGACGCAATTAGTAATCATTAGAACGTCGTAACAATCAGAATTCAGTCATTTTTGGCAAAATTGTATCTTCTTTCGCAATCTATCGATAAAACTATCGACAACAATAACATAACATTTTAAAATTTTATGAAACTGGCAACCCTACCTATCATATTATATACCTATTACATTGAATTGAAATAACTCAGTATAACTAATATGGTTGATATACAAATGTTGATCATAGGAAGAGGTCGAGAGAGTGTTGTGCCGCATCCGCCACGAGCTGAAGGCGGGGCTTCAGCCCGTCGCCGCCAAAGGTGCTAACGACAGCGACAAGACTGACGACACCCACAAGGCTGACAACACCCACGACCCTGCGGACACCGTAAATGCGGACACCGTAAACGCTGACAGGTCGGCTAATTTTTTTATGAACAATTTGCGTTAGGCCTACTTAATAATATTATGTAGTTCGAATGCCTATCTCTCAAAGTTGCAACTCTCACGGTCGTATTCCAGAACTCTACTCAATGCTCAAATCAGGATTTGAGCAGACTTGAGTATGATTTCAAGCACTGGAAATACGACCCTAATGGCAAGGACTTGAGTATGATTTTCAGTGCTCACTGCAATACTCAAGTCCTGACTTGAAGAAGAATTTTTAGATGCTCGTATCTTTGTTATATTCAGAATAATATTACTGTTATTAATTTACAAAATTACGTTTAAATTGAAATTTTTGTTTGAATTTTATCTCAAAAATTCCGCCGAGCTATTTACATCAATATTGAGATCTAAAGCGTAAAACTAATAGACAGAGGGTGTGAGTCGGGCGCGCGTCGGGTCGGGACCGCAGCGGGTGTAATTCCGGGTGTAATTTATATGGACGACGACACACAGAGTGCGGGCGCGAGACGTACTAGTTCCGTCAAGACAGGTGTGAATTACCTATTAAATTGTTTTGTCGCTTTTATCCCCGTTTTGTAATTTTAGTAAAACAAGAGGACCTTAAAGCCCATAAAACCGTATACAACTATTACCCTGTACTAAAATAAAAATATTTCATTTAATTGAATTTTTATTGAATTGATATTCAATTATTTTTTGTGAAATTACTCCACTAGTTTGTTATAATTATTAATACAAAGACCGAACACTCAGAAAAAATTCCTTCGATCCGGTCGGATTCGAACCGACGTCTTCTTGCATACCGTGCCAGACGCTATACCAACTAAGCCACGGAACGAACCAACGGACCTCACGAATTCTTCTATGTGCTTGCGTCGTGTCTTTGTACTTGGTCTTTCAACGACTTTTTAGTCTAAAGTTTTTAGTGAAAATTGGCAACCCTGCAAATGTTATATTCGTAGTATTACGAAACCCTCGCCTGAGAGGAGACCCATGCCCAGCAGTGAGACGTATAAATGGGGTGATTAGGTTTTCTGGATTGTTACACATACGAAATTAAACTATTTTTCCGGATTTTAATCGCATATATTTATTTTTCAAACAAACCAACGTTTCGGGTTCTTTACAGATCCCATGACCACGGCTGACTGAGGTGGTACCGTGATCATGGGACCTGTAAAGGGCTGTAATTTAAAACTAATGTGGTTTTTATGGTATGTTTATAGTAGGTTTGTATAGTATGGTACGCAAACAACCATTAACCGGATCAAATTATGGTCCGTAATCTTTGGCACACTTTTTGTAATAAATCATATAATATAATAAATACATTATTACCATTACCCCATTATTTATGTCTTTATTTATTTCACAGCGTCAAAGTGGAAGTGAAGGAAGAACCAGATCCTGGGCCTGATCCACTCCAAGATTCCTCCCTCAATACTGCTTACGATGTAAGTTTTTTTTATGAAAAATAGACTTGGCCACCATCTTACTCTCTTAAGTGGCAATATGGTAGGCGCTTGTCTAAAAATTGCCTATTCACTGTAGTCTGGAGTAACCACAAATCCAGTTGCATATAACACATCTGTGTTACACACACAATTGGGTCCGTGGCCGAAAGGTTACCATGCTAGTCTGCTACGCAGAGGTCTCGGGTTCGATTCCCCCCAGACTGGGAGAAATATTTGTAAGACTTACTTATATTTCTCTCGTGAGTTTGGGTGTGATTTGTGGTTGTCTATGTGTGTGCCCATAACACCCGCGAGACGGGGTTTCCCTGGTGGAACGCTATGAGTAGGTATGTGCGTTATTTATATTTGAACTTTTGTCGTTCGCGTGCAGAATGAGAAATAGGTCATTATAAATACAACACGTATATACCACCTCATCATCATAAGTACATCACGTACATCAAGTACATCATAGGGTACTTAGAGACTGTGGATTGCCTCGTCTGGGAAATGAACCAACCAAATGTGAAAAAAACACCCTGCATTTTTAGGACCCCGCGGATCAAAAGGGTCAGTTATAAACTCAGTACAGAGTACTAAAAAAACCGACCTCGAAAGTTCATGAAATCACATCTATTTGCCAAATTTTATTGTAATCGGTTACCGGTAAGTGCGCGAAACTGGATTCACCTCCTAGTTTGCCACTCTATAGGTGGAATATTTTCTTAATATTTAAATGGGACCACTATTGAGGTACCCTCTTTCCAACAAAAAACAAAATCAGAGAGAGAGAGAGTATCATCGAACAGTGCATTTGGTGAAAACAAACGCGTTATCGCGTAACGTACCTTCCTACATGCAAAAAAAAACGTACAGTCGAATTGAGAACCTCCTTTTTTTGAAGTGGGTTAACGGGACACGATTAAATTTTTCATTATTTTACAAGTTTAGGAAAATTAATTATAATTTGTATTATACTGGCGATATTCGTATTTCTAAATTCTATGGATAGCTTTGGCTATTTACTAACCTTTCAGTTGCCACCCTAAAATTTGACACCCCGAAAATTGCCAAGTTGCAAAAAATGGCGGAAAAAAAATGCGCGAATCCATCCGAATTTAAAATCACGATTTCATCTGTTTTTTGTTGCTAAAGGTGTGGAAAACACTTTATACATATATATTTATTTGCCGAAAATAATAAATTAGAAATAAAATTCAATAAAATAGAATTTTTTCCGCCTCAAAACCTGATATCAGCACGTGGCCATCTGAGGTATTCACAATTTCCCGCTATGGCTTTGCTGGCAAAGCCCGATATGGGTACGTGGCAACCTTTGGCATTTATCATTTCCCGATTAATAAATATCCGCTTAACTTACTATTTCCTTGCACAGTTCATTATTATATTATATTATATATTATTTTACATGTCCCAGTAGTGGGACACAATATGTTAATTAAAAATATTATTATAGTATTAGACAACATCACATACGTTGCTCTGATCCCAAAGTGAGTAACTAAAGCAATTTTTTTTATGGAAATCTGAAACAACGACTGTACTAGTTACAAACATATGGACCCGAGACAATTTAAAAAAGTTGGTTTTCTATATTGACCCGGCTGACGTGATATAAAAACCACTGTGCAAGGCATTAGATCACGGGTCGTCAAATGATGATATTATAGTATTTGAATGCATCTATCTCTGTGAACTAGACAGGATGCCAATTTTAAATTGTAAGTACATAGCTAGATACTAGGTAGTCCCAGGTTCTATGCACATCATCTTTCAGTTCTAATCCGGGTGACGGCATATACATATTGTGATTAAAACAATTTTCGGTTAAATTTCTAACAGTTGGAACTTACAAGCGAACTGGACATCAAAATCGAAAAGGAATGGCTGGATGAAGAGATTAAAGAGGAGATGAAAGAAGAGAACTTCGCCGTGTTCACGCACTCCGCAGGTTAGTGTGTATAAAGTTATCACAGTTAGTTAACAATAATAATAACGTTATTTCGTTTTAAAGAAAAAACGATATCCTTTACTCATATATATACATTTCGTATACAGGGCATAAGGTGGTTAGGCTTTTACCCAGATTACACACTAAAGTATTTTTTTTTTTTTAGTTGAAGCTACAAGAGATAAGATACCCCAGAAACGACCCTCGCATAACATTACCACAATACCTGAAAAGAAACCATATTTTAGTATAGAAAGCAATGCATCCAGCTGCAGTGGATCAGGGGTTCACATAGACAAGAATTTAAAATTATTAACCAAACCTCCACTTCGATTGAACGAATCGTCAAATTTTGAAATTCACAAACATGCGTCGGGAGGGCAAATAAACAAAGGTAATAAAATATCGAGTTCTAAGGTTTTCGCGATTGTTACACATAGGAAATGAAACTAATTTTCCGGATTTAAATCGCGTATATTTGTTTTTTTCAAACAAACAGACCGACGTGACCATGGGACCTGTAAAGGGCCCGAAACGTCGGTTTGTTTTGAAAAAACAAATATACGCGATTTAAATCCGGAAAAATAGTTTCATTTCCAAAGGTAATAAAAGTAAATGTAAATATTATTATACAATCGCAGCAGTTGTACTCAGGCCACACAGAAGCCGCCGCGGAAGCATTCCGGGCGCGGGAATTTTTGTTATGCACGAGTTCGTTCACGGCTAAGTGACAAATGGTCAAATATCCGTTTTAAATAGAAAAAGAAAGAGCACAAAATTCTCTTTTAAAAACAGTTAAAATTAGTTAACGCGTTGGACTTATCGGAATCTTACCCTAACGATGCAAATCTGAAATATCATTAAACAGTATCAATATTCTAAAACTGGGTTATGGTTTTTTATGATATCGCAAAAAAATATTTTGTCACTTAACCGCGTTTTAGTTACTGGACGGCAGATGAACCCTGCCACACTGAAAGGAGCGGCGACCGCGCGTCAGCCGCGCGTTTCAGTGTGACAGGGTTCATGTGGCCAGAGCAGGGTTCTTTGGCCCGCCAGACGAAGGTCTACCTTATCGGAGTTTTTTAACGTGATAGCTTTAGTACCTTTATATGGCTTCATAGAAATGAGTTTGTGGCACGTTAAAGACTGACAAGTTACTTTGCAGACCCCATTATTGGGGTTGTAGCTCGAGTAGAATTTATACAGGGCGGCCCATTTTCAGTGGTCCAAAAATTTTTTTCAGATAGAGGACATCGTAATGACTCATTTAAAATAAACGTTTGTTCCACGAAAATCAATAGTTTAGAAGTTATGATTTTTCATGCCCTTTAAAATTTTCTGCTCTAGTCACCAAAACCACTCTCATTTGAAAACTGTTCCACTAAATGAATTGAAATTTGGTATGGAAATAGTGTGACCACGTAGCTAGTATGCAATGTGATATTTTATGTTTGTATTTTTGATTTCGCCGTTATTTTTGATTTTTAGTTCATTTTTTATTCGCTTACAAATAAATTGTTAAGTTTTCTAAAAATTCGTGACTGAGAAAAATAGACTATCTGAATTTGCTAATAGCCTTAAAAACTACCTTGAGATGTAATTATTGTTTACACATAAAATTTTAGTGGTGTAATTATTGTAACGTCTTCAGAAATTGAAATCACGTGCACTGAGCGAATAAAAACCAAAATTTACAATTTCTATCATAATCGTTATTCCAACAATTTAACAAAAAACTTAATTAATTGAAAGAAAACATTAGTTCAACTAAGATTTATTATTCAAATCTAGTATTTATAAATAATGCACAAAAAAATATGTGACTTTCGGTTGAAACTTCGGACAACATCAAACAGCAAAAATTAATTATAAATGTTTATTAAAAAAGTAAACAAGAATTATTTTACAATAAATTCTCAAAGTGCCTCCGTCTACAAGGACACGCAATCTTCGCTCGCGCAGAAAGCCGGAGATCCACTCACAAAGGCGGCCGGGAAGACCATATGCCGGAAGCTTGGAGAGGAGACCACGGTGCCAGACCCGATCAAAGGCCTTAGCAATATCCAGACTTATCGCTAAGGTTTCGCCTTTTTGTCGATAGCTTCACCCCAGAGATGCATTAGATACGCTAGAACGTCACCCGTTGATCGGTTCGGCCGAAACCCGTACTGTCGATCATTAAGAATGGAGTGACGTTCCAGATTATCTGGATATTTAGAATCCGCTCCATCACTTTGCAGAGCACTGAAGTGACAGCTATTGGGTGATAGTTTGTCGGATCAGACCGATCTCCTTTCTTGGGGATAGGTGGCACGTTGGCCTCCCTCCAAGCTAGGGGCACGTTACCAGATTGGTATGAGAGGCGGTATAAGCGCGTCAGTACGGGAGACAACTCCGCCGCACACCTTTTAAGGACGATAGGAGGTATCCCATCTGGACCATAGGTTATGATTTTTTCTCAGCCTTAAATATGCGGTATCCGGCCGGATATCGTTCTACTATCCGGTATCCAGCCGGAACCGGAAAGTTGCCGGATATCCGTGTCATCTCTAACAGCAATGTGTAGCTTGATGTGTACATGTTCTCACAGGGTCTCGAATTATCGACCTCTTGATCGAGAAACAACCCGCTTCTGTTAGTGATATAGATTTACGTAACAACGACCACACGACGCTCTACCGGCTTAATCAGGTTTTGTCAAAACTACTTTTGCTACAAATTATTAGTAGCAAAAGAGTTCCTTATGAAACTGCTACCTTACCTATTTCTACTTTCCGGTTTTGGAGAGTAGGGGTGCTCGTAAAATGATAGGCTCATGGGACTTGATCACTTATGTCTCGAGGTGATGAGCGCAGTGGCAGTGTCTCCCTCCGATCTTTGCGTTGTAACGCTCTGAGTGGCACTGCGACTGCTATGGACAAGCGTGTGGCTTACCATCAAGGCTTAACACCAGGCCTACGACTTGTTCGTCCCGTCACTTGGTATTATAAAGAACGTATAGATAGTACGTACATACCAAGATATTATAATTTCCTATATACTTACTTAAAAGTAGATTTATGAAGCCTATAAAAAAGTTTTAATTGCCAACTCTCTGCTGAGGATCAATAATAAATCAATGTGTTCCTAATCATTTATGAACGATCTTTTTTTTTCAGCTACCCTACCCCAGGGCAACGAAGAAGGAAGTTCTGTCAAGAAGAAAAATAATTAGCTCTAGTTTTAGTTTTATTTGTATTTTCGTTTGTAAACGGGCAGCTCGAAGTTTCATAATATTTGCAGTTCTATTTTTAAAGTCGGAACTAATCGAGTTTTGCGGAAGTTGACGATTGCAAAGCCAACGTTCTTATTTATAATTAATATGATAGTATAGTTTTCACGCTCATTTACGCTACTGTAAACTCGGTTTAGCTTTAACATTCTACTTAAATAAAATTTAAATTCTCGGATGCTTTTTCTTAAATATGCATATCACTAATCTAAACACCATGCTTGGCCACAATTTACCGACGATGGTACGTGTTTAAAAAATGTCTTCCATCTATGAATGACTTTAAATTGTACTTTTCTGGTAATACGGATCATTGTAATTCGAACACCTGAACCTAGTGATGTACTGAACACACCATGTCTAAGCGATAAAGACACTCTCTGTGTTTACTTATTACCCGCCTGTTATTAATTACGATAGACATACTTAGTAGTGTATAAACACTTGAATTTCAATAGGATTTTCCTTTTTATTTGGGCAAAATGACGCAAAATTACTAGGAATTTAAGGTTATGGTGTTGCAAAATGTCGATAAAATTTTTAATTTAGTACTATTGTAACGCCGGAGTAGAAGATTTAAATCGAATATTTGCCATAGTTGAAAACGCTTCACATGATGTACTTTGCATGACATCAGTTAGGCATAATATTTATAATCTTCTATCTTCATGTGACACCAATGTCTGATTTCATATATTTGACCACTTACAAAATCAGTCAAGATCATTTAGAGCTTTTTTTCAGTGCAATTCATACAAATTTACATTAATTTAAAGTTCAATTAACAGTACAGGCATTTTCAATAGGTAGGTACAGTTTTTTACCTAATTTGGTGACAATTTTAAATTTTGTGTTTTAAGGAAATATTATGGGTTGGTATTATATTAAAAATAAATTCCAAAAACAATATCTTACCGGCCCTTCAAAATGTCAAGTACCTAATTTTAAAGATATATGGAAATAAAATTTTGTTCGATCACCAAAATTGAACATTGTTACCAACATTTTTGTAAGCAAAAACATTGATGACCAAAAAATAAAAATTAAATCAGAAAAAATATTTTATAGCCCAGGATCTTAGATGCTTATGCTTAGATCTTAGATAATTGCTTGGACCTTCTGCTAACAACTGATCCAGAGCTATACTCTGTGATAAGAATACCCCACTGGGTACTTACCACCATTGTCTGGTGAAAACTGTATCCGTATACTTCCCACCCGATCAGAATCCTAGTGGTATGAGACGGGAGTGGTGATACAGGTTAGCAGATTTAAAATTTTTCACCAAAATTAGACTCTTCCCGCGGATGATTGTTCTTGGTACGATATTACTTTATATTATTAGACCGTTTAATTAATCATTTATTTAATTTATGGACACACATTTATTTAATATTCTTTTTTTTTTCAAAATATGGTTTGTTTTTTACATAAAATCCTATTAATATTTGCACATCTGCTTGCAGGTTGAGTACAATGTAACCTTATTTTACATTTTTAAGGTCATATACCTTTATCATTAGTGTAGTCTGGCAAATAAATGTATTCTATTCTATTTCAAAATGGTTTGTGTCTGGTGTCGCAATCTAACAAATGGACCTTCTTTATTATTAAGACAGTTGCTTTTGTACAGATCTAGATGGCCTCACCCGCTTTACCATTGCATTGATCACAGGCAGCGTTGCCGTTCTTGCACCTTTGTCGCTAGACCTAGGGGATTTTATACATGTTTAGCGGGTAAAAATTTGGTTCTTCTAGCGTCTTTTTGACCGCGAGGCTCTTTTCAGAAACAAAAATTATGACCTGTCTATCAAATACGGTAAATTGGTAATATTCGGCTAATTTTCTAGTCTAACACTAACGTAGAATTAGACTGAACGGTAATTTTCTGTAATAAACAAAACAACATCCATGCGTTCGTGTGATGCCTTTTTCGCTCGTTACGATCAGGAATGGGGAAGACCTATTGATGAAATTTTTTCACTCGCACAATGATGAGATGAATATAATTATTTTTTGTTTGCGGTGTTTAAAACTAAATTAAAATAAGTGCTTTTTGGTTCATATTGTCGTGATTATTTGCAATTTTATTTACCGTTTGTGAATCAAATTCGATTTTCAAATAAGCATGGAAGTACCGCCAAATCTAGAGACATCTAGCTGATTTTAGGAAATTATTTTTTCCCAAATCTAGCGGAAAATCTCTGACCATCTAGGGATTTTCAATTATGTACAACGGCAACACTGATCACAGGGTATTATGGGTATTATTATCTATGCATTGATCTGAAGGAAATATTTCTTTCATCCAAAAAAACCTGCGTTATAGGAACGTAACTTAAAACAGAGGATACCACACGTAAAAATCCCAAAACTTCTCTGGTATTAATTAAAGTATCTACTATACAGGCTGTAAATTTGAAAGTGAGACATACTTATAGAGTGCGTTATATTCCTGATTCTGAACCCAAAGAAAAAATAAAAAAAATGAATTATATTTTACAAAAAAAAAAATTATTTTTTTATCGACTACTGCTTGTGAACAACATTAGTCGTCGAAATCCATGCACATCCCTATTGATGTTCCCACGCAGCGCGAGTCTACTAGCGCGAGCGCGGCCTCTTTGAGCGCGGCACATCATGGAGCAGAGCCCATCAGACAGTGCACGCGCGGCCGCCCGCCCTCGCGAATACACGTAAAGTACTTTCGCTCGCCCGATCACAGCGCCGGCGCGCGTCGATCGCTTTTCTCGCCCGCAAAATGGATACATATTCAAATGTCGAATTGACTGAGATGGTGCGACTTTACGCAATAAGTGGTGATAGTGTGAGACGAGCGATTAGAATGTTCGGAGAAATGTTCCCAAATCGGCCGCTGCCAAATTATCGGGTGATGCTTTCTGCGACTCAAAGACTGCGCGATTATCGCCAGTTCGATGAGCCTATAAACGCTGAAGCTCGTGGCAATGTAGGCATCGGCGTGGACCTGCAGGAGCGCATCTTGGACTATTTTGAAGAGGAGCCGCGCGCTAGCACACGGGAGGCAGGACGCCACTTTAATGTCTCGCACATGAATTTTACGACGCTGTGCTAGACTATGCATTGTGCAAAACGGTGGACATTTCGAACAATTGCTCCGTACCACGTAAGTGTAAATAAACTGTAAATAACTAAAAAATCATTGTAAATAATTTGATTTAACATTTTTAACTACGCCAAAAACCTCAATTCTTATTAAATAATAACTAGTTACTGAATCATAAACTTATCTTTTTTAATATAGTACGTAAAACATTTCGATGATAGTTCCTAAGTAAAAAAATAATTAACCTAAGCTAAAACGTCATCATTTCGATAACAGCTTTTTTCATTATAACATAAATGAGTAAGTGAGTAACTTAGTTTTTATTTTCTTGAGAAATGAGGTGCTTTGTCGGTCCTAATTCCGAAAAAGTAGGAAGGGAGATGTGAAACCATTGTTATTGTGTGTAGGAGTGTGCGACTCGCGCCGCCGTCGGCGTCGCTTGGTATGTTCCACTTTGGACTCGAAATTAAGCGTAAAGGGGATCGTTTTATTCCTATGTGCACTCCAAATCAAATATGTTGATTTATTTTTTGATTTATCCCATATCCTAATTTTATTTTAGTCTATGTTAAGTTGTAACATGATTTTCTATGACGTGTATGAATATGTCCCACTTTCAAATTTACAGCCTGTATAATTAAATTACAAAGAGTTCTTGCAGCCATACTTATTATAACCATGTATTTCTCTAAAGAGTGCAAACTTTGGAAAGTAATTTTTTTCATTGTATTTTTGACAAACGGTAATGGTGTGATTATCAAAACTGGCAACAATGCTACTTGCTGTCAAACTGCAGTCTTGTAAGTTCTCATATTGTTCCCCCGCCCCATTAACATAAACAACCTCTTAACTTTAGTGTTCTTGCCCCATATTGTTACTCTATGTAAATTTATCCACTTAAATAACATATATTTATAAATATTGTTTTGCTGTTTTGTTTTACATTCTCAACTGAGTACTCCCGTAGTCCAACTTACCAACACCGGTTAATGTCCTATTAGAGCTTAGCGAAAATTTTTTTTTGTTTCGTTTTTTTTCTTTCAACTGTGACATTGGCAAAATCATCAGTTCTCATATTGATGGAGCCATAAAAATAAAAAGTGAAGTGATGGAGCCATAAAAATAAAAAGTGAAGTGAAGTAGTTTGTTTGTGTTGTGAACAGCAGTTTCACAGAGTACATTGTGTTATTCGTTTTAAAGTGTTTTAACTGTTGTTTCTGTGTTTTACCTGGCATGAAATTTGACACTGCTGCTTGTATACCCGGCGCAACTTATGGACTTTGAAACTCCGTTACAATAAAACTTGTGTCACGTAGAAAAGTTTGCAAATAAACATGCCCAATACTCGTAATTGCTATTTTGGGTGTACGGATGGCGGTAAGTAGTTCTTTAAGCTACCCTAAACTGAATGTTGAGTACCTAGGTAACAATCTCGAATAAATTAAGACAGACAAGGCTCATAAAGGCGCTTTAAAAGTAGGACCTTAATGCTTATCGTTTGTTTTAGGTCCTCTGCACAAATTTCCCGATTGGGCTAACCACCACCAAACAGATCGATTTAATAAGTGGAAAACAGTGCTTGACCCAGAAACCCAACAAAACCACAATGGATATATATTTAATATGTTTCGTCTTTGTAACAAACACTTTGTAGAATGTTATAAATCCAAACACAGTCACCGGCTAACAAGAAATGCAGTTCCAACATTGTATCTTGGTGAGCAAAATTTTTTTATTTTGATTGTATTCTTTCGTATTGTTAATACTGAAGTAAAATTTTTATTGGGAATAATGTGTTGATATGGGGCTTTCTCACGAGCTGTTTTATAATTTGTGCACTAGTTGTAGTGTGTAGTATACAAGAAATATAATTTTAAAAATATTTTTACGTCTAAACATTTTATTTTAAACAAAACATTCTCTTGTTGGGGTATGAGGCTTTGGAGAAGGGTAAAGAGTTAAGAAATTAAGACACATCTCAGGCAACATAATATTAAACTATTGTGTGATACGAAAATATTATATTTTCAATATTTTCAAATAGGATTGTTACCAGTTAACTGAAATTTAAATTAAATTTGAATACAGTGCGGTGTACCACTTACAGAATTGGTTTATTTTCTTGTTTCGTGTCTTTTTATTTTTTACTTTATTTTTAATGCTCACCTTTTTGTAGTTCAGGATTGCACTCTTCACATCGCTTTACCTTTTTTGTTATGCTTATTATTGTAGATACTTATGTGTTTGTATTTTTGTCCTTTTGAGGTCTTAACTTTTACCTTATTTTTACCATAAGTGAGATATTTAAAAATTAATTCGCGCAAAACGACGGAGCCATAGACACAAAAGTGAAGTTGAAGTTGGACAACTGTAATTAGCGCTAACTAGCTTCACCTAAAAACATTCAATGTAAATCGTTATTAATAGCTGTTGTTGTTCTGATCATATAAAAAAAAATTAGGTTGGCAAAAGTTTTGTGAGAGCCCCTATTATAATTCTCCCCCCTCTTTAGTTTGGAAGGGTATAAAGTGATTCCCTGGTGCTTTTTCTCTGGAGCTAGATTATTGTCGAATGACCCTCAGAATGGGTTGAATCATTCGCTTTTAAATTAGCACCTCCTAATCTGTTGAAGAAATCTCTCCTGTTTGGCTCCCCTCTCCACAAAACTCTGTCAATAGTTTTGAAACTCCTTTCTCTATGTAGGAGCTTCTTTCTGTTAGTGGTTAAGGATTCGTCTCCTGGTGTTGATGGAATCCCTTATTCCTTATTGTTAACACTAGGTCTTCTTCCAAACTTTATTTTCTTAATATCATGAACCATATCTTCCTCTCTGGCAGTCCCCCTGAGGACTGGAAAACTCAAATAGTTGTTCCCATTCTTAAGCCTGGAAAGTTATTTAAAAACCCATCTGGATACCGACCTATCGTTTTGTCTCAGCCCTGGCCAAAATTCTAGAACACCTTATAAAGAACAGACTGGAATGAACAGTGGAAAGCAAGGACCTTTTAGCTAAAAGCCAATTTGGATTCCGTAAAGGTCATAGTACGATGAATAGTCATGCCATTGTCACGACAGAAATCCGACTAGCTCTCTTTAAACGTGAATCGGTGGTCGGCGTCTTTTTGGCTATCTGTTCAGTGTACGACAACGTACTCCTTCCCCTACTCAGGCAAAAACTGCATAATCTGTCCATATCTGTTCTTATTTGCGTCAATAATGTTTCTCTCCCCGCCAGATTAGTTAGAAAGGTCTCCCGCAGGTCTCTGTCCTTCTTCTTTATAGTCTATACACACATGACTTAGAATTATCTATAAATTCTTTCTCTAATGTCCTCCAATATGATGACGACTTCTGTTTATACTCTGTCGTTCCTGACATTCTCGATGCACAGTCTGCTCTCTCCTCGGCTCTCCACTTGGTACTTGGTGCAACGGGCTGGTATCCGCAACTCGACGACAAAGCGTCTATTTTGCGTGTGGTAATTCCGCTCTCCACTATTTAAATGTATGGTTAACGGATCATGGCCTTACCCTCTCCATTCCCGAAAGCACTGTGGTAATATTCTCCAATAAAAAGAGTATCCCTGATATCTCTATCTGCTGTGATGATCTCTCCCTGTACTAGACAAGGTTAAGTTTCTTGGGGTTACCTTAGACTCCAAATTGTCAGGTGTCCTCCACATTAATCACGCAGCCCATAAATGTGAAAATAACATTAACATTATCCGTTCCCTCTTTGGAGTATGGTGGTGTTCACATCCATAGTCGCAAAAACTTATCTACAACGCCCTGATTCGTAGCCACCTTGACTGTGGCTCTTTCCTCTTAGAACCTTGTTACAAAAGTAGTTTAAATAATTTTGACAAAATCCAGTTCAAAAGTTTTCATATTGTCATATTCTCCTACTAACGCCCTTCAGGTTGAATGCGTGGGTCTACGCAATCCTCTTTCAATAAGAAGACAATACCTCTCGGATAGATTTCTTTTCAAGATTATGCACTTTGTTTCCCATCCTCTTCTAAATTACAAAACCTCTCTGAATTAGTGTCTGCCTCTTCATATTAAATTCACAAGGATGCCCCTTGTTTGATTAAAGGCTATCTCAAAATCTCCCGTCTTTCTTGTCCAATGTATCAATGCAAATTAAATTCGATTTTTGAAACCCCTTTTGATGCCATTATGTTTCGTCCTAACATTATACTTGGCCCAGGTATAGATAAAGAATCTACCTCGACTGATTTAGACTTAGTCGGGTCATTGACAAATTCTGGCCTGACTGGATTGTTATTGTGTATGGCCTACATTTATTTCTCTCCTGAGTTTGTGTGTGTCCATGGCACCTGCGACACAGGGTTTCCCTAGTGCGGTGCTATGTTGAGTGTGTGCATTATTATTATTATTATTTATATTTATACGGATGCCTCCCAGCTTTCTGACCGGGGCTGCGTAAGAGCAGCCGTGTGGATCCCCAAGGTTAGGAAATAGGTCTCAGTTATAAATTACCCCTATTCTCTTCTGTCTTCACGGGGGAGGTGTCGGCAATCTTGGAGCCATTGAATTTTATTGATTCTCATAATCTTAATAAATGTGTAATTTTTTCGGATGCAAAACTTCTCTTCAAGCTATTTTATCTAACCAATTTCGTAGCAAAATTAAATTTCCAGTCATCCTAAAAATTAAATAGACTATGTCTTGCTGCTAGAGAGGTCGAGGTCTCGTTGGCTTGGATACCCAGTCACATTGGTATCCGAGGGAACGAGACAGTGGACTAATACGCCAAGGAGGCCACCCTCTCAGGCTGTCTCTCATTATACAAATGTTACGCTCACGACCTGATTTCGTTAGCTAAGGATCGTCTAGATTTGGACTGGCAGGCACACTGGGTTGGAACTAGCCAAGAGAAAGGCACGGACTATGCCGACACTCAAAATAACATCCCAGTAAAACCAAGGTTTTTTATAAGTTTCGGGAGTCTAGTAAGGCAGCCAATTCAACGATCTATAGACTGAGACTGGGCTACTCTTGTTCCCCTGTGTTCCTCATTAAAATCCGTGTCAGAGACAACTTTTTGTGTGTATGTGATCTGGACGAGGGTAGCCTTGATCACATTTTCTTTGAATGTTGAAATTTATTGATCAATATTAACTGACAACATTAATCGAAAGTGACGCTTACCCAAGCCTAGTGGCCGCCATTAAGGAAATAGAATAGAATAGTGTTTTCTCGGTTTTACTTTTTCCGGTATATTGTTGTGCACTTTATGCCTCCGTCCTGACATAAAGCAGTGAGTGTGAACATTTTCTGAATTATAGTATGCTGAAATCGTCTACTATGGCTCTACGATCTTGTTGTGTACCTGGCAGTACAATGAAACTCGGAGACGGTAAGTAATTTTTTTAAATCTTATTTTTAATAAGGCCTGTAATACTTTGGTGTCAATGTCGACCTTGTGATTTCAATCCCTGTGGATTATTCTACTCTATCGCCTCGCCTCGTGGTGAGAGGCAAGACCTCGCATATGAGTACAGAGTTTTAACCCTCTTCACCTACGGGTCACCAAACAACATTTAACTCGCCGACCTGCCAAATATCCCCGAAATTATATATACAGAAATTGGCTACTTGGAGCCACATAATGGCCACATTCCATTTAATGCATATCTTCAAGTTTGTTACAGAATTTACATAGTGAAGATTCCGCTCCTTTTATTATTGAACTTATTTAACAGAAGGTGGCCAGTTCGAACTCTAAAAGCCAAGGTCAGTACATTTCTAAAAAATGCGCCGTCCACAAACCCGGGCTTTCGCGGTGGGCACACTTGAATAGTTTCGTACCAAATTCCTTTCACTGCAGAAATCTCACCATAGATCTTACTCCACATATCTATGTTTAGGTCTCTTACAAACGGGATGATTTCTGCCGCATACTATTCCATTGCTTTCTAGTTCCATGTGTGATGGAATAAATTGCAACATTATACACATATTCTTGGACAGTAAATTACCTACTAATCTCAAAGCTTCATAATCTATGGGCATACCTTGGTCTCCCGAAACACTTCGGACTAAATGTTGTAGTGCACTTTTAGAACCTGTATGAATAACGATTTTACGAGTATCTACAGTTGTAACAAAGGATAGAGCTTCTACTATTGCAGTTAACTCTGCTCTCATTATACAGGGCTCCTGACATAATTTTAGGCTAAGAGATACATTTTGGTTGTGGATCAAAAAAGGATACTCCATTTGTACCTTTGGAACATCAGCAAAAATTTTATAGTAATCTCCTTAGTTATTTGTGATAAGGTTTAATACTATTTATCTTAAATCCTCATATTGATTTGTCGTTTGGTGTTGTTATATTATTACATATCTTATACTAATACGTCAAGATGATATTTTGTAAGCCAGGTACATTTCCAACTTTAATTACTAATATTTGTAAGTCTGGATTGCTAGAGGTATAAAGCACCTGTGTCACTTTTACACAACCGGTGAGCTAAAACGCATATTCCGCCATTCGAGTCTTCTCTATCATCTCTAACTATAATATATTGGCCTATATAAAGTGATTCCTCTGGATCAAGGCATGTTTCACTTACGAATGACTTTTCTTGAGCTAAATAAACATCAAATTCTTTTAATTTATGTTTTAAACTGTAACAATTCCATTGAAATTATTGAGTTTTTATTGTTATCCATTGAATGATTCGAAGACTCCGTAACTGCAATATGTTTCTGTAGAAATTCCTTTACTTCCATCCAAATCACCATATTTTAGAACATTTAGTGCTGACGTTATTTTTCGAAAAAAGAATACCTATAATTTTGTCCTGCCATCTCTTTAGTAGTGATTTTGTTTCTGACCGGTCACACCAAGTTCCAATAGTATTATTGTCACTAATTGTCACAATTACTTTGTCACTTTCAGATTGGGAAGAACCGAATTGTACCTTTACTTTTACTAATGAATCTTTCCCTGATTTGGATAACCTTTTTACGGTTTGTGGTTAATGACGGGTGCATACCTCTCTTATCTATTGCAGCTGTATTTATGATGTCTTTTCCGGGTCGAACATCTTTTCTAAAACAATTTCTTTTTCTTTTCTAAGACAACTTAAAAGGTTTGGGGTTGCCTGGTAATGTAAAGTTTGGTTCTCGTTCTGGTAAAGCCTCGATCCTGTCTCTAGTTTCCAGGTCTTGGTTTGAATGTAGTCTTTTCTATTTGTTTAGGTTGTTTCAGGCTACTTTGTACGTGCAGTTATGTTTGGTCACGTATAGTCTAATAATTCTTTCTCTTTTGTAAACTGGGCATGTACTCTTAATAAAGGACATGTGTTCACCCTTACAATTTACACATCTATATTTATTTGTAGTGCAGTATTCTTGACTTTTGCCGTATTTTGGGCAAATATTAACTTTAAAGAGCAAAATCGTTTAATATGTCCATATCTCTAGCATTTAGAGTACTGGGTTACGAGGAACGTAAAAGGTTCTATATTCATACGACACCCATATGCTTTCACATGTTAGATCCCCTGAAACAGATACGGATTTATTTACTTTCGACCCATTTACCTTCTTGGTCCCTCTTATGTAATCCCTTTGTAGATAAAATTTCTGTCTCGCTTTCAAAGATATTTAACAGTTCTTCCTCTTCTGTATCCATACAATACCACGTATCACACCGTAAGTATATTTGACTTCCCCTGTAATTCTGCATATCCACTGGTTCTGTATTATAATATCTCACTCTTCATGAATGCTGTAGCCCCCTCACTTGTTTGAAATCTAATCCATAGCTTAAGTATACTCTTAGAGCTGACTTTCAAAATATCTGGGATATTTTCGTTTTTCAATAACATGCTATACCTCGCGGTTTAGGTAAAACTTCCTTTGAAGTCACGGATACCTCGTAAAAATTCAGTTTTTACATCATTCGATGTATACATTTCCTCTCCTTTAGATGCAGGGCGTGAAGTACCTAAATTTTTCCTTTTCCTCTTGTTGACCATTGTAAAGCCTTCAGAGTCATCCGTGTCTCGAGCCTTTTCTCTTTGCCTCGTAGAAGCCATCGCGATTGTATTGTCATTCGTAACCTCCAAATAGACCACTTCCTCATTCTTCCTGAGCATGGGTAGCTCCCTAATATAGTTCTCCTTATATTCGCCGGTGTAAGATTCTCCAGATAATCACAATCAGGTACATCTTCCTCCTCTGCATCACTCATTATTCAACTTTCCCAACGTTGAGGGTAGGTAGAAAATATATAATTATTTTATAACACAAATATTATAGTTCAAATGTAATATATATTCAATATTTATACAATAATAATCATTTATTCAATATTTAATGAAAATGTTTCAGGATTACCGCTACATCGGTTTCCCAATTTAAACAGTCCGGTCAAAAATGTAATACCTAATTAATGTAATTCACATTAATTATTACATTGTGGGGAAGGTGGGAATATATGGGCGTAGCTCACGCCCATATATTCCCCGTTATAGGACGGTCTGATGGATTGAATGTGGAGACAAAGGTTGGTGATAATGGTACAGGGTCAAGAGCACATCAAGCTTGACACGTAACACTTAAATCCAACTCTATGCCGCCTACGATAAGAACGGTCCAAAGTGTCAAGCTTGATGAGCTCTTGACTGTACAATAATCCAATATTTCTCTATTCTGCAAAATAATCTAATTTCAAATTACCATTTACGTCTTTATTAATTTTGTTACAGATGTTAATAGCACTATCGTTCTTCGCCACTGGGTGGTACCAGATGCCAATTGGCGACATTTCATACCACTCCGTTTCCCAAGCCAGTGTTAGTAAAGCACCGGTAGTAGCTGCGCTCAATAAGCCAGCTATATTAAATAAATATGTGCCCTTTCCTTTTAGGCGCGCTGAAAAGGGATAACATTAAAAGATGGTGAGAAAATGAGTTTCACAATGTATATCTTTATTTCCTTAATTATTTCTCTTAAAAATTATTTTTCAGATTCTACAGAGTAACGGGAATGCCAGTGATTCTGGGTTATGTTGATGGCACACATGCAGCAATTCTAACTCCCGAAGACCATGAGGAGCGCTACATAAATAGAAAGGGATATCATTCCCTTAATGTGTTTATAGTAAGCATTGTTTTTTAAAATAAAGAAATAGTAATTTCTAATTTGCTGAATGAGTGACAATTTAGTTTATTTGTAATTGTAAAATCTTTTTTCTTTTTTAGATTTGTTTCTCAGACTTAAATATAATGAGCGTGGACTCCAGGATCCCCAGTTACCCAAGATCTACACATGACAGCAAGGTGTGGGATGGGCACCCTTTAAGACATTACATAGAGAACCTACTTGATGAAGGAGATGAGGATCTTTATATACTGGGTATTTTTATAGTATACCAATAATTAAACATTATTATAGAACAATTTCATATATATCATCTGCTTTAAGGTAAAAACCACATAAGTGACATTTCAACAAAAATCTCCAAATTATGTACCAGTTGTAAGAAATTCACCATCTTTCTGCAGATAAAACTCTTGTTAAGTTTATAGCTTTTTGTTATTGAGTTCCATTTCCATCCATTTTTGTTATAGCTATATAAATTAAAGGCTTTTTGTGGAAAATGTCACTTATGTGGTTTTACCTTAAAACAGACGATATTATTATTGCAGGAGATTCTGGATATCCATTATGGGCCACCCTTCTCACACCTACATTAAACGCAGAGCCAGGCAGGCTCCCCAGAGGCCTACTATACTGGGCTGCATGTGACTGCACAATCCACTGTAGAGTGTTGTATAGGAGAGTTCAAGGCTCGGTTCCAGTAGGTAGATTGACAAATATACACTGTACTTATAGTTTTCATTATGCATTTTTTTATCAATGTAATATACATATTTGATGTTTACTTTCAAGGTGTCTTTTGGTCGACCGAAAAATGCATTATGGACTAGCAACAGCAGCAAAAATTGTAAACGCCTGTTGCGTGCGACACAACATCCCGCATGGTGCCAAAATCAAGTACCATTCACTGACAGCAGGAGAACTCAGGCGCGAGCGTGCGCTCACCCAGCGTGGGTCGTTCCTCCACGCGATGGAGCAGTAGCCCGCGCAGCACGCGCTCGTCTAATACGCGCTGGTCGCGAATGTTGCAATGCGCTTGTGCCATTGACTTACAATTATATGGACGTCGGGTCCGCGCTAAAAAGTGTCCGCTAAAATCGTATACAGAGCGCGAAACTCCGCTTTAGTCTTCATTTGTTCTACTGACAGCGCGATACTGCGATGACATTACAATTTAAATTTCGAATAGGTTGACTTGGGACATTTTTTTCGTGGTTTTTGTATTAGACCCGTCGTCCATTTATTTGTAAGTCAATGGCTTGTGCGCTTACTTTGACGCCAAAGAAGTATTCAGTAATAAATTGCATAATATTTTTAAATTGTCTTTTTTCCTCTTAGGTCCTTCAAACTGAAACAAAATAACAATATGTGAACAATCACTAGAAATAATAGCCGGGTGGTCGAGTGGTCTGCGAACCTGACTGTAAAACCAAATGCTAATGTTTGTGTGACAGACATTTGTACCCGAGTCATGGTTGTATAAAATACTTATGTATTCTATCCGTAATTTAGTTGCACTAGCTCTACTTAGTCTGGGACCAAATAATTGGTGTGAGTCCAGAATGTTCAGAATTTATTTATTTTATTATTATTCCTATTAAAAAAAAAAAACAAGAGATTGCTTTGGAAAAGTAAAAAACTAACCTTTCATTCTTGAGGTACTGTAGAAAAACTTTCCAAAAAAATTTTTATTGCGGGCACCAACTCAGCAACAGTTGTGCAGAGTGTTGCCATTGATTGGGCCCGCAGTTTATCTGCCTCAGCAGATATAATCGCTGCCTTAGACTGCGCCCTTGCCGTTTCCGCTTGCCGCAGCGATGCCTCCGCCAGCAAACAGTCTGTACGGGCACGCAGCTCCTCAATACGCAATATTTCAGATCGGCTTGGCTCTAGAGCTCCTCGGCTGGCTAAAGTCAAAATTATACGTATCGGGTAATGACTGGGATAGGTATTTAATTTGCACTGAAAACAAAATCACAGTTGCGCAGACCACCGCGCACTTAAAAAAGGCCACAGATCTTTAAATTCCCTAGAGAGGTCATAATATGTTTTCAGTACAAATTAAATTAACTTTATGTTTCAGCATTTATAAACAGTGGGATAGAATTTGCCATAACTACGAGTATGTAGTACACATTACTTTGCACTTGGCGTGGTGCCCTTTGGTTTTGCTGGTAAGGCCTCTTATCTTAAAATTAAAGCACAACACAAAATAAATAAATAAATAACCACACACTCAACATAGCCCCGCACTAGGGAAACCCTGTGTCGCGGGTGCCATGGACACACACATAGACAATCACAAAATATACCCAAACTCACGAGAGAAATAAATGTAGGCCATACAAACATTTCTCCCGGCCCGGGAATCGAACCTGGAACCTCTGCGTGGCAGTCCGGCATGGTAACAGTGCAAACTAAATGAGGATGGAAGTGCGTTAAATTTATTAGTGAACTATTATTGCACATCAAGCTACCAACAAGTATTTATTACTTAATTTGGAAATGCATAATCAGACATAAGGCATACATACATGCATCAGAAAATTGATCCTGGGATTCCTTTACAATAGGCCCCACATTCCTTCCAATAATATTTGCCACTCTTTCTTCTATAGACGTAAAACAAATATTACTGGGAGGGCCACCTCCTGTGGTACATTGCGACACGTTAGCGGCTGCCAATTTAGTCCTCACCCGGCTCTTCAGATCGTTCCACATCTGAGTGACAATAACGATATTGCATATTACAATGATATGACTTCTTCAGATAAGATATTGTTCATTTGTATTAAATTTAGTCATTTTGCTTTAATCACCATGTACATGGCCATGCAATGCTATTGTAGTGGTATGTTAGCATTGCTAGTGTTTATTTACTGTTTGCTAATTATACATGTTGCAAATGTTTTAAAAATACGATTAACGAAAGCAAGTAATAACAGTAAATGGAGTCTTTCATTATTACTTACTTTCGCCCATTCTTTGGGTTTTCGCGCAGGGCCCTCTGCATTTAAAATTTGTGCACACTCCCGCCAAAGGCGTGCAGACAGTACGCGGGCCTCTTTGGAGCGTAATCTGCCTAACGCCAAATCTCTGTTGGACTCTGCGAAGTCTAACAGAAGTTGCTGCTGGCTCAAAGTGGTCGCTCTACGACAATTCGCGTCCATAATGGCTAAAATATAAAAATTCGTATCGGGTAATGACTGGGATGGTAGTTAATTTAATTTGCACTGAAAACAAAATCACAGTTGCGTGGTGGTCTGCGTACTTAATAAATGCCCCAGATCTTTAAATTCCCTACAGAGGTCATAATATGTTTTCAGTGCAAATTAAATTAACATTATGTTTCAGCATTTATAAACAGTGGGATAGAATTTGCCATAACTATGTAGTACACATTACTTTGCACTTGGCGTGGTGCCCTTTGGTTTTGCTGGTAAGGCCTCTTATTTTAAAATTCTAGGAAATTGCAGCTAGCTATGATAATACAGATGTAACATCACAATGTCACTTCACAGCACACACAAAAGTTTTGCTCCAAGAAAGCGTTGTGAAACTTACATATACACTTCCACATTCACTGTCTCCATTGCCGTACCCTCATTTTCTTCAGATTGTGAAGCATAGCAAAGCACAACACAAAATAAATAAATAAATAAAGCACACACTCAACATAGCCCCGCACTAAGGAAACCCTGTGTCGCGGGTGCCATGGACACACATAGACAACCACAAAATACACCCAAACTCACGAGAGATATAAATGTAGGCCATACAAACATTTCTCCCGGCCCGGGAATCGAACCTGGGGCCTCTGCGTGGCAGTCCGGCATGGTAACCGTTCGGCCAAGGAGGCAGTTAAAAAAAATGAACAAGCAAATGGAACAAGTGCAAACTAAATGAGGATGGAAGTGCGTTAAATTTATTAGTGAACTATTATTGCACATCAAGCTACCAACAAGTATTTATTACTTAATTTGGAAATGCATAATCAGACATAAGGTATACATACATGCATCAGAAAATTGATCCTGGGACTCCTTTACAATAGGCCCCACATTCCTTCCAATAAAATTTGCCACTCTTTCTTCTATAGACGTAAAACAAATATTACTGGGAGGGCCACCTCCTGTGGTACATTGCGACACTTTAGCAGCTGCCAATTTAGCCCTCACCCGGCTCTTCAGATCGTTCCACACCTGAGTGACAATAACAATATTGCATATTACAATGATATGACTTCTTCAGATAAGATATTGTTCATTTGTATTAAATTTAGTCATTTTGCTTTAATCAACATGTACATGGCCATGCAATGCTATTGTAGTGGTATGTTAGCATTGCTAGTGTTTATTTACTGTTTGCTAATTATACATGTTGCAAATGTTTTAAAAATACGATTAACAAAAGCAAGTAATAACAGTAAATGGAGCCTTTCATTATTACTTACTTTCGCCCATTCTTTGGGTTTTCGCGCAGGGCCCTCTGCATTTAAAATTTGTGCACACTCCCGCCAAAGGCGTGCAGACAGTACGCGGGCCTCTTTGGAGCGGAATCTGCCTAACGCAAAATCTCTGTTGGACTCTGCGAAGTCTAACAGAAGTTGATGCTGACTCAAAGTGATCGCTTTACGATAATTCGCGTCCATAATGGCTAAAATATAAAAATTATTAATTATAAGCTGTTTACATTTCGAAATTGAATTTGCGTATATGATTGCGTAAAAAGTTACTACTACATTATTTAAATAAGCAAAACAATACTTATTTCACACGCTGATTTTACCCTTCTTTTCCCAATGAAACTAATCTTGTCCTTTTTGCTTAATTTCGTCTGTGACAAGGTGATGAGCTGCTGAAGGTTAGGTTATAAAGGTTTGCGCGTGATGAGATGTAGTACTTACTATTGTTTCCTTTATGGCGGCCACTACACTTCTGCCGGTGTCAGTTTTATAAGAATAATATACGTGCAAATTATTTTGATAATCGCCGGTGCCAGCGAAGAAAGAACATTTCTCCTATTAGTACGTGCCTGGAAAAAAATTGTGGTCATGCCATCTATTGTGGTCATGTATCTTGGAACAAATGAAGTAAAACTTTGAAAATACTGCCATCTACTATCGTTTTCAAGAAAAAACTGCCGTGAACGTCAATTTTATCGTTTGAGAAATGTAAGTTTGTAATACTCTTTTGAGTGTTATTAAATGGCCCTACTTGTTTTGTATTAGTAGTTTGTGCCTACTTTTTTTTTTTTTTTTTGGGCATTTGGCTTCTGTCCCAACTGAGGACAATTTTGCCAGTGTCCGGAGTTGAAAGATACACGGTATATTTATCAAGATTCACTCAAACGACGATGATCGGTTGCACCATCCTATGGACAAAGACACAACACGGGGTTATTTGACTAGCTACTTTGGATGAAAAGCGTAAACACATGCTGTGCACATAGTAGAAGTTATAACTGTATGTTATTTTGTTCAATATATTTAAATAGAGTAAATAGTAGAGGAGGTTTTAGGGGAGAAAGGATATTATAAAAATTTGTGGGACGAGGGATACAATCTGGAAGAAGATCGTATAAAGAGACGGGATATAATGCACAGTTAAAAAATATATGGTCAAGAGTTCCTTCTTCAAGACCGCACTCACAAAGGGAGTGATCTCTTATCCTGAGCTTAGCAAGAAAAGTGGGTCTGCAGTTATGTCCTAGGCGCAATCGGATGATAGTTGAAGTTGTTCTTTTACTGGCCTCGCGGAACTCGAAAAACCAAGGTTTCTTGGGTATTACTGGTTGAAGACCAGCATAATATTTGCCTTTTTGTCTGCTAGAAGACGACCAGTAAGTGTGCCTACTTGGCTTTACTTAGTATCTCTTATTAATTTGTGGCTTTACTGTAGGATAATAATATTTTTTTTTCTTATGTCTGGGCACTCTGGCGTCCAGTCTTTGGCCATATGCAATTTCCGTTGAGTTGGCAATTTTTTATAATTCTTCCAAATAAATATTTTCTTCCTTCTTGAGACTTCAGGATATCATTGTCGTTGCAGTTGTAGTTGTAGAACTTTGATGTGGGTTTTTGGATATTAATATGAAATTAAAAACGGGAAAAGTAAATCGGGGACTAAAAATAAAAGCAAACGGAATTTTGGAAAGGTGATCAACAGGATAGGGTAGGTAGTATATTTAAAGGTAAATCTAAACAATGAAGGATGGAAATTATGAACGGAAATGGAAATGAGATAGTAATAACTGAAAATAATGATAATTGGATAAATAATCGAAATTTTAATATCATTTTTCCTTATGAACTGAGCCAATGCATTATAAACGGCATAATTATTATACGATAATAACAAAGGAATAGATGTTGGTAAAGGAATTTGTAAAGGAATTATATATTGAAAAAACGAAGCACGGTCCAACCACCTCTTCTTTTCCTGTCTAAGATTCATACCTTGGACAGGAAAAGAAGAAGTGGTTCAGACTACCAATGTCTTGTTCGGATTCGCACATCGAATCAGGTATTATATTAAGTCTAGCTAGATGTTCAGATGAGCAAGTATGTCCTAATCTTATTCTTGTAATGATTGAAGTAACACGTTTCTCAAAATATGTACGCGGAAACCACGGTTTGACATCATTGGGATATCGGGCTGTATGTCATGAAAATATTTGCCCGTAGATTTACTGCTTGCTTCCCACACAGTTTGCCAAGATTCTTTAAGAAATAAGCAGGTAGTGTAGCCAAGTCATGAGCAAAGTTTCTACTATACAAATCTACATCGCCGTTATTTACTGCATCTTTAGCTAAGATTTCGGCTCTCTCGTTATATCACTGTGACAAATAATACAGAAAGACCCTCTGAATGATACTTGTAAAAGACTTCACGGATTTGACAAATAATTGGGAAAATTTTACCTGCCTTAAAAGGGAATTTACATAATTACCGCAGAGCACTTTTGGAATCAGAAAATGTTATTGTTTTATGTAATTTTGTTAAGAGAATGTCTGAAGAAGAACTGCCTTAAGAAGACCTACGCATTCACTTGTGAAAACGGATGTTTCAGGTGGAACCTTTGTTTTTTGAATGATATCGTATAGAGAATGAAGAACACCCACTCCTACAGCCGAGTTATCTAGTTTTAAATAGTCTAGTTGCCATGCATAGAAATCAAATACCTAATAATTGTAACTTTTTCATTGAAAAAACAAACGACCTCAAAGTTTGCCTATCGGCTTTTTTCGATTTCCGTAAAATCTCCTCATTAGATTTTGACTTCTTGGTGACAATGTGACTGTCCTTTATACATTTTGTACTTTTTTGTGGTTGTAATGGTGATAGTGATTTGTTTATTACTTGTATTGTGTCAAGTGAAATGTCGACGTTTATTTGCGGAATAATTAGTGAATTGTGACAGCCGAAACGAACCCGGAACAGCATCGTCGGTATCAAAAACCACCTCGAGAGTATATACCCTTTGAAACAAAAACGAATGTTCAAAATCGGTCCACAATTGATGAAGAAATCGGAAAACGTACATACAGTCATATAACTCTTCCTTTTTTTAAAGGTTTAAAACAAACAATAATAATTTATACAGTAACAGTAGTGATGATTGAAGATTATAATGATTCAATATAAATTATAATCGTCACCAAATAAGAGGTCAAATTTGACAAGTTTGACATCGTGACATGAATAGGGATGTGTCAATTAAAAAAGAAAAGCAAATACAAATCTGGCTATGAGCTATAAAAAAAATAGCTTGAAGACGTAACTATTTTCAGGACGTTTCGGAGTAACTCAAAATTGCATTTTATTTTGGAATTCGTGCGATGTTATGTCATGTTATGTAATTTTTCAATAAAATTAATGTATTTCTTTAAACACAATTATGCTAATAATTGTTTGTTTATTGTTTCATTGATTTGAATTTGGCCATTTATGACTACAGTCAATAATTCGACTCATTCGCAAAATAAACACCTATGCGCAAGACTGCTTATTCTCACGATATTATACATTTCGTTCGATGTTCTTAGCTGTGGATATCAGATCGACCATTCATTCATTCATTTATTCATTTGTCCTTCGTTGTCCTTCGAATAAAATGAGCTTATTATATAACATCTTTTTGTAATAAAAGATTTTATCGATTAACTTAAATAATGAAAACGCACGTCAATATATGAACTTGCAACGCCTTAATTAATTTTACTAGATGTTTTTCTATTGGTAATTGATCAAATTGATGAATGGCAAGACAAATAAAAATGTTACTGCTGACAAAATTAGGTAAAATCTTATAAATCAGAAGGGGTTTACTTTGTGACGGCCTCGTGTGAAATTATTGTGATTTGTTTAGCATATTTGGATAGCATCTTAGGTGGGATAAACTAGAACACCTTCGTCCTCGAAAGCAACGAACTCATACGTATGACCAACTGCAGGTTTTCGTAAAGACACACCGTTATTTCTTTGCATTATATATTTTTGTATTACTCGTACTACATATCCGGCGATGTATGCAATTATTTGCTCACTATATCTGGACATTCGAGGCAACGTGGTACAAAAATTACCGAAATTACAGATACTACTAATAATAGATACTACAAAACTGAAAAAAAAAAAAACGAAACGTTACCAAAGGTTATAACAAAAGAGCTAATAGAATATTTTTATAATATTGCTAAGGTCATAATAATTTTTGTCCCTTTGTTTTCACAATCGATCTGAATCGAGAACAGTGTTGCCTAACGTATACATCACTAATTGTTAAATTTGGCCAAAAAAATGTATGTACAAGCGGGCGTACCACGAAACTGAATGTTTAATACAAAAGTGCGTTCGTTCGAGATTCATGGCGTATTAACAAAGGATCACAGGTATATCGCACCAAGTAAAAGCTGCAATATATTACAAACAAGAGGCATACACTCGGTTACATATTTGTTTTCTCGAAATTCATACAAAACCAAAATAATTGTTTTTAAAATAAATTATGCATCTTCTGATTACAAAATCACTTGCCCGTGGTAGGAAACGTCCCTGTTTACCCGTTTATTTACAGTTACGGAGCTTTTGCAGTTTGTAATGGCACAATTATGCAATTTTCACGTTTTCGACTGGTATTTATCTACGCTAACGGTCGAGCGTGTTCTGAAGTGTAGTAGCGGCACGGCAACTAAGTGAATTTCACTTACTTTGGGCAAGCGAATAACACTTGCGGCGTCTGATTTATAAGATTTTACCTAAATAATGCCTGTGCTTTGAAATAAACCTATGAACAAGCGTCGTGCATTCAGCATGATGCTTGTTCATAGGTTTATTTCAAAGAGTACCGTAAATTTGGGTGAATAGAATGTGCGGGGTGGATAGAAAAAAAACTCCGAAAAAGTTAGACTTCATGCAGCACTATGCCTGTATACCACTTTATGTTAGAAATGTATGTTTATATTCGCAACACTTCAAATAACCTGATCTTACCATAATTTTTCAAACACACAAGTTTGTATAATGTGATATTTGAATTTGTAAATAGCACCTTTAAAATAGTGATAGTAAAATTATTAAAATTATTAACCTTCCCATGTCTGTACATCTTTGAGGCATCTATTTTTGTTAAGACGAACTTGAGTGAATTTCCAGAAAAAGTAAGTTCACAAGCGCACTTATTTCGTACCAGGAAATATATGGTCCGAAGAAATATATTATGTAAAACGGCCCTATACAAAAATAGCGTTGTTGACATGGCACCCAAAATATTTAATAAAATTCCAGACGCAATAAAAAATCTTAGTGGAATGCAATTCAAGCATGTATTAAAACAATTATTAATTGACAAGTAAGAGGTAAATCTATGTGAAAGGAATCACAGTCGGGGTGAAAAGAATTGCATACGGGGTCATTAGAAGTGACGCTAAGCTGCCTCTTATGAGTAAATTAAGTAAAGAGAGAACGTGGAGGATGTATTGCTAGAAATTTCAAGCTAGCCCAGCAGAAGCCTGTGTGTGTGTGCGTGCGCGCGCGCGCGTGTGTGTTTGTGTGTGTTTTTTGCGTGGATGTGTGTGTTCTCTCTCTCTGTGTGTGCGTACGTGCGTGCGTGCGTATGTTTGTACCTGAGAGGGTGTATGCATGACCATGTATTAATCATCTACTATATACCTTTCTACTATTACCTTATTATTATTTTTTTAGGCA